CCGGTTGGGCGTGAATCCGTCTGCTCCCCTGCGTCTCCTCGCTTTCCCTCCTCATCTGTCCGCGGATCTGTTTCTCTGTGTGTTTGGCCGTGTACGGTCAGTGGGGAGGATAAAAGTGCGCGCGGATTGGCAAGTTCCAGTTGTTCAGTGTCGTCGTCAGCTACTGCCCGTCAAGAGCGCGTCCGCATTTCGTCGTTGTCGTTATGGTTGGTCATCGATTACCTCTTGTTGTGTACTTTTGACCGAGGGTAGATTTACCCGTGAGGCTTGGGAGTGGTACCCTCTTAAACCGTGGCGTACGTATTCCCAGAAATTATTTTTGCGCGAAAAATTAGAGAATTTGTTCACTATTTGGGTGGTGGACATTAGGTATCTGATAAGCACGCTTCTGATTTCAGCTAATTTAAAGCTACGGCCACAGGTCACTGCTGTTTTACAGCTTAGGGTAGCTACAGGAATTTCCAGGGGTCTCGGTCTGGGACACTGGATAAGTGTGGATAAGGATTGCTTGGGAGAAATTTGTTTTCTTTTTTTATTTTAAAAAATATTTTTAGCAAATTTAGTTGATGCGGGATGATTTTTCAGCGTGAGGTTATTTCCATTCACATTGGCCAAGCTGGCGTGCAGATCGGGAATGCATGCTGGGAGCTGTATTGCCTCGAACATGGAATTCAGGTATCACTTCTTTTTTTTTTTCATTTTCAGGAATTTTTTGTGATTTCCTTGGATAAAAATTTACTGAAATCCTTCGATTTTCTCCTTTTTTGCATTAATTTTGATTCTTCGACCAGCTGGGGCAGTCTAGCACCATTGGCGTAACTGACAACTTCTTCCTCACTGCTGCAGTGGCAGCTCTATCGTATGGGTAAGGTTGTTCGGGATCCTAGCATTCGTTGCCCTGCTGCTCTTTACCCCTTCCTGGGGGAAAGGGACGGGGCGAAGAGGTACAGTTCTTGGATTTAAACGGAAGGCCGTTCCTTCAGCTTAACTTATTGTTGATATTCAGACACTGGCTAGGAATCGTAAGATGGGTACTGGCGGTTAACTACGTTTACAAGGACACGAACTTATAAGGAGTAGCTCAACTAAAGGGAATCAAGTTTTTTTTTTCTGTAAATCAGCAATTTTGCCTAATTTTAATGATTTTGAGGCCACCAGCGAGTTTTACCCACTAAAATCCCCGTGAACTTTAAAATTCTGCTAAGTCAATCATCATTTTAATGTCAAGGAGGGTGGCCATGCTACCATTTTCAGCCCGATGGACAAATGCCGTCGGACAAGAGTGTCGGCGGCGGAGATGACTCGTTCACGACGTTTTTTTCGGAGACAGGATCGGGCAGACATGTGCCACGAGCCGTAATGATTGATCTTGAGCCGACCGTCATCGGTCTGTTTTTTATCCTTCACCGTTTTATTTTCTTCTTCCCCTGCATCAACCTTTCTGGGTAGTATATGAATCTTTCAGTTGCACCGGTATAAAAAGAATTGATTTTTCATGAATAATTGTAAAGTGAACTTTTTCCCCGTCGAAAATTAATTCATTTCAGTTTATTCTCAACTTCTGCGTCATAAAATGTCTTCTCATACACATGACATTCAAGCGAAATCCTTCTATTCTTCTGTTTCATTGGTGCAACAACCAATCTCTCTGCATATTTTTTTTTATTCGTTTCAATGGTAAATTGGTCTTAAGCACACGCCGGAGAGTTATACCGGTTATCTGCTTGCTCCTGAGCAACCCTGCAAAGTGAAAACAAAAAGGAAAGATCGACCATCGGGCCAACGAGTGGTTGCTCTTGGCATTTGCTACCTTCGGGATGCTTTTGGGTGCCTCCGCCTCTTACAGGAAGGATGTAGGAGGGGTTTGACTTGGCTTAAATTCTTAGCTAGTTTGAGAAGAAGCATCCAAAATAAACAAATTAAGTTGTTAAACAAGTTCGTTAAACAATTGCCGAATTCAGGACATGCCTGCCCTCTCAGGTCGCTCCTGTGGCATTTTCAGAACTAATCCCTCTTTTGGCATTTTTGGAACTACGAATATATCTTTTCTTTGTTCCCCTCGTTGCTATATCTCTCTCCCTCTCTCTCTTTCCCTCTTCCCTCATCGGACTATTATGTTAATTTTCAATCAAGTAAAATGTCGTTTGCTGCAGCTGTTGTGTAGTTTTACCAACGAACGATGGTTCTTGTCGTAAGCATCGGCTTCGCCTGGTTTCTCGATTTAATAAAGCAGAACATTCCTGTTCATCTAACTATTTTTTAATGTAATTTTACATGTTATATGTACATCCTTATTAATATTTTTTAATATATACATATGTATATATATATATGTTTTTACTTTGAAATAGAATTCTGTTTTGTTTTTCAGCATTATACCTCTATTGCTTTGCTCTTTTTTCCCTCTCCGTTCTGGAATTTTTGGCTGAGCCTGGTGAGAATCCTCATTTCTTCGCCCCCCTCCTCCCTCAGTACAAGTGTCATTCGTCTGAGGAGTTTCACATTTGTGTGCACAGTACAAATAAACGAGATGAGACAAACAGACAAGGGCTCGGACAAACGAATGTTTGCTAAATAAGTGTGTTCCTTTTCATTGAAAAAAGCACCTTGTGAATGAACAGAATGAGGGAGGTTTTTTTCCCCCGTTTGATGTGTCTGCAGAGAAATAACAAAATTAATGGGAGGATTTCTCCGAGAACAATCGAATGCCCCATTAACCCTGTTTTTTCTACTGTCTCGTTGCAAAGTCCTGCCTTTTAGTTCCAGGCTGTTATTTTTGATTAAAAATTGTTCTTGGATTTATTGCACTTATCGGGGGTTAAATGTCCACTGCGCTGTTTAGTTGAGTTTGTAAAGAAACGGTGGAGGATCCAGGAAAGGGGAAGGGAGTGGGGAGAGGGGAGGAGGGAGGGAAGAGGGAGAGGGAAAAGAGGTCTTTTTGCTATGACATTTCGGTTGAGTTTTATTGAAAAACCTGTTGGGATTTGTTTTAATCAATCCACATCCTTATGCCGTAGCATCACAGCCAGACATCACTTTCTGGCAGGTCCCAGCTGCTAATTTTTTGATGCCGGACGTTT